CTGTACTCGAGTCCACAGAGATCCACCTGTCTCTGCCTCCTAAATGCTGGGATTAAAGGTGTGCTCCCCCATGCCAAGCCCTGTTTTTACTTTTTAAAGATCATTTATTATAGAAATCCCTAAGATTTGGTTTTGTAGTTGCTGTGATAGAATACCATGATCAAAAGCAACTTGTAGAAGGAAGAATTTATTTTATTTTGGCTTATGGTTCCAGAGGGACAGGAGTCCACAATGGCAAGACAAACATGGCCACAGGCAGCTGGAGCAGGAAGCTGGTTGATCACATTATGTCCACAAATAGAAAGCCAATAAGTTATGGAGAACAGGAAATAGGATGAAGCTGTAATCCCTCAGAGCCCACCTCCAGTGATATACTTCCTCTAGCAAGGTTCCCCATCATAAAAGTTCCATAGCCTATCATCTGGGGACCAGGTATTGAAATATATGACCCTATGGGGACATTTCCCATTCAAATTGCAGCACCCTGTTAGATTTAGTTGAAAATAAGATTTATAATGTTATAGTATACCTAATGTGTAATAATTAAGAGTGCTTACAAAAAGCCAGGCAGTGGAAATGCATGCTTTTAATTCCTCAGGAGGCAGAGGCAGGCAGACCTCTGAGTTTGAGGCCAGCCTGATCTACAGTCTACAGAGCGAGTTTCAGGACAGCCAGGTGCTACACAGAGAGACCCTGTCTTGAAAAACTAAAAAAAAAAAAAAAAAAAAAAGAGAGAGAATATTTACACAATGTCTTTTAGGGGCACCTCCTCCTCTATAAAATATGCTTATCTTTTATATTGTCTGTCTTCACAAATTCCCTACATTGTGGAAGTTGTTTTCTTTTAACTCCACACTCAATGCCGAAAAATAATGTTAGCTTTTTGTCCTTTGATAATATATAGTAGGTTATGAAACATAGGAACTAATGTAAAGTATTAAGCTTAGAAATAACTTCATTATAGAGCTGCAGAATTATATGAAATAAATAAATATGCCTTTCATGAGGAAGAAACAGGTGGATCTCTATGAGTTTGAGGCCAGTTTAATTTACATAGCAAGTTCCAGGCCATCCCCTCTAATGTAAAATCAACTTTGAGTATTGGCAAATGTCTGTAATCTCAGAGTTCAAGAGGTTGAAGTAGGATAATCTTGAATCCCAGTCAGCCTGGATGGATTAGCAAGATCCTGTCTCTGGTTTAGCAATTAAGAGCTCTCACTAGCTGCTCTTCCAGAGGTCCCGAGTTCAATTCCCAGCAACCACATGGTTGCTTACAACCATCTGTTATGAGAGCTGATACCCTCTTCTGACCTGCAGGCATACTTGCCAGCAGGACACTGTATACATAAATAAATCTTAAGAGAAAAAGGGTACTTAAAAAAAATGCCCTCTCAGCGGGGGTGGGGGGTGGCGGGGTGGCGCACACCTTTAATCCCAACACTAGGGAGGCAGAGGCAGGTGGATCTCTGTGAGTTCGAGACCAGCCTGGTCTACAAGAGCTAGTTCCAGGACAGCCTCCAAAGCCATAGAGAAACCCTGTCTCCAAACCTGCCCCCCCCCAAAATACCCTCTCTTATAAAACCAAAACAAAACATTTAGAATCTACTTTGAGTTAAGGAAACTAGTAATCAAAAGTCTAGGTTTTTTAAAAATAAGATTTACTTTTTAAATCTTAATTTTATTGCTTATATATAATAAGCTCTACACTTTAATAGAATTCTAAAAAATTGTACATCTTAAGTATGAAATTAGGTCAGGGGCAGGGCTTGGTGGCATATGCCTATAATTCCAGGATTTTAGGAAGTGGAGGTAGGAGGATGGAGAGTTAAGACCAGCCTGTGCTGTGTATAGCAAGACTGTCTCAAAAAAGAAAAAGAAAAAAAATTTAGCTTTGATTACTGAAGAAAGTTGACTATCTAGGGAATATAGCTCCGTGGTACAGGCCCCGGGTTCAATTACCTGAGCCAGGAGTAGTGGGGGGGAGGGGGTAGACTCAATTGAGAAATTTACTAGGGGAGTAGAAAGAGAACACACAACAATAAAGAGCACCCATTGCTCTTGCAGAGGGCTGGGTTCAAGTACCAGCACTCTTTCAGTAGTCTCCAACCATCTGTAACTCCAGTTTCAGGGGAACCAATACCACTTTCTGGCCTCTGAGGACGCTGCATACATGTGGTACACAGAAACACATGCAGGCAAAACATCTACAAATCAAATGGGAAAACGTTTTTAAATTTACTAGGAACAAGTATTATGTATGAAAAATAGTTTCCCATTAAGTGTAATTGACCTCTTTAACATTTGTTTGGTTAAGTTTTTTTGGGGGGTTGGGTTTTATTTTGAGACAAGGTCTCTATATAGCTTTGGCTGACCTGGAGCTTGTTATATAGACCAGGATGACCTCAAACTCAGAGATCTGCCTCCTGCGTGCTGGGATCAAAGGCATGTGTCACTATGCTTGGCAATGGTATGGTTTTTTAAAAATTATACTTGATGAGATTGATAAGCTACTTAAAACAAAATGCCACTGCCTTTTGTTTTTATTGTTCTTTTTTTATGAGTCAGGATTGCTCAGGCTTGTAAACCCTCATCTCGAAGTATTAGGATTACAAACATGTGCCTCTACACCTGACTGTCTTTGAGATAGTTTTTATTGTTGTGTTTTGTGTTATAGTTTTTGTTATTTCAAAAGTTGTTTTATAAAGATGTTTTTTTAAAGATTTTTATTTATTTATTATGTATACAACATTCTGCTTCCATGTATATCTGCACACCAGAAGAGGGCACCAGATCTCATAACGATGGTTGTGAGTCACCATGTGGTTGCTGGGAATTGAACTCAGGACCTCTGGAAGAGCAGCCAGTGCTCTTAACCTCTGAGCCATTTCTCCAGCCCTATTTCAAAAGTTTTTAAATTACAGAAAAATACAATGGATAATATAACAAATATCTGTGTACCTATCATCCATTCTTAACAAAAATTTTACTATTTTTGCTTTAATCTGTATTTAAGGAAAAAATATTCAGGTAATCTAAGTCCATTTTGTACTTTCCCCTGATCCTATTATGTTCTTATCTCTCACCTTGAGGGAACCTCTGACCTGTAATTGGTATATATTTATTACTATAATACTTTTATTATACTTTGTATCCATTATAATATATAGACAGACATATTTGTTTTTTCATGCAACATTGTATTGTCATTCTAAGTTCATGGCAATATCATTCTATCAGTGTAATATCACAGTATGTTAACATTTTTATTTAGTAATATGATCAGAACATTATCAGTGAATCAATGTATGCACATTAATACTGTAACTAACATAGTTCTTGTCTCTTGAATTTTTGTGAACAGGCTCCTGAGGTTATTATGTCTCAACATTATGATGCTAAGGCAGATTTATGGAGCATAGGAACAGTGATCTATCAATGCCTAGTTGGAAAACCACCTTTTCAGGTAACCTGACTTTTTTCATATGTCCTCGGTTCTAGGATCTTCTAGTTTTGCAGTCGCCTTTGATTTATAAAATAAGAAATACTTTGAAATCAGTAGATTTTAGGCTCCTTTGTGATTTATTTGATTTTGTTACAGGTAGTGCTGTGGAGATCCAGGGTGTTTATTTTTCCTTTCTATCTTCTTGCCCTTTGTAGTTGGATTGGCATTAGAAGTCTATTAGATGTTTTCTAGGCTAGTGGTAGAGTCAGGGATAGCTAACCCTGAGATGAATGGTAACCAAAGCTCTATCTGCTAGCCTGGTTTGGGGTCATGGAATCCAGTTGAGGTAGGGGCTGTTCTGATAGGTCATGGAAAACTCATCCCCAGCCCTCTATATACTTTCTGGGTGTGGGGGGTAATTATTGCATTTTTTGGTTCTTTCTCCCTCATATCCTTTTCCCATTAAGAGGCTGAACTTCAGAGGATATGCCAGCATCTCTTGAGTTCATATTATCATGCTATAATTTTTTAGTTTTTATCAATTTTTAACCTGAAAAATTGTAACAGTGAAATTCCTTATCTAGCATGGTATAAAAAGAATTCAGTAATACAATCATGTTACTTGCTTTGCATTCTCAGTGCGGTTCATATGTAGAGGCAGTTTCACTAATTCAACCACTTCCTGTAAGAGTGCTACTGTTAGGGAGAGACAATATTGGTAATATACTTGCTTTTTTTTCTCCTTGAGTCTCAAGAAAGTCATAAAGTAAAACACACCTAGATTATACACAACAAAAATGTACCTATTGGGTAGACCATGTAACCTCCAGAGTAGCTGCTCTTCTGTTTCAGGCTCCTTTGAAGGTCTGACCTCAAAAAAGGTATATTGTACCAAGATACTCAGAATTTGCATATTATCTAAGAACTTTTATAAGTCTTTTATGCCCAGCAATCCATTTGTGATCAGTCCATGGCACTCAGGGTCAACATCCATATATATTCTACAGTAGGAATATGAGTGTTAATCATGAATTTGGAAGTTTTGCTCCCCTCTATTTAGAAAGTTAACTTTTTCTTTTTCTTAAATAGGCTAATAGTCCTCAAGACCTAAGGATGTTTTATGAAAAAAACAGGAGCTTAATGCCTAGGTATGTGATTAAAATTTATTTAAATTACACTGGGTTTTACTTTTAAAATTTATTTACTTACTTATTTAGGTAGTAGTCTTTCTCTGTAGCCCATTTAGCCTCAAATCTATAACCCTCCTACCTTACCTTTGTAATTGTAATTACATGGGGATAACTATCATTCCTGCATAGTCAAGGTTTACTGTTTGTGAATGCAGTATTATTTATTTGAATACCACATTTTGTGCATTTTTGTTGATGAGTCTTTTTCAACTTATAGTAGTGTTATGATAGGAAATTATAAAGTTGCTAACACACCATAAATACCTAGGTAGTACTGTGTCATTTGTTATTTGCCTTTAAAATGGAAATTTAATAGAAGACATCACAGAACTTATATGTATTACTTGTATAGAGGCAAACAAACACAGATTCATAAAGCAGAAAGTTAATTCCTACATAGGCTGTAACAATAATCAGAGTTATTGTGTATTTTTTCAAATATTCCTTGTGGGAGTTCTTTACACATGCTTGAGAGATCTTGTGGGTGTGTGTGTGTGTGTGTGTGTGTGTGTGTGTGTGTGTACGTACATGCAGTTTCAGATAATTACATTTTGAGTTGTTGTTTCTTTTATAAAATTGGCTCTCAGGCTGACCTTATTTCAGCCTCTTGAATGCCAAACATGCATCACCATGCCTGGCTTTTGTTTGTTTGTTTGTTTTTCATGCTATATTTTAAATGTTCAGCTACAGTATGTTCATCCTTTTGGATAGCTATGCAGAGTCTTATAAAATTAGGTGTTCTATTTTATTTAATCACATTCTTGTTTGATGGGAGATGTCCTTTGTATATATGTTTCTCTTATTGGCTGATGAATAAAACACTGACTGGCTGATTGGCCAGGCTGGAAGTATAGGCAGGGTTAGGAGATAAGGAGAATTCTGGTAAACGTAGGCAGACAGAGACACCAGTTAGGGTGCTAAAGGAATAACAGGTCTGGACCCTTTTCCAGTAAGACAAGACCACATGGAAATACTTCAATTAATAGAAATGGGTTAATGAGACAACTAGCCAATAAGAAGTCCAAATCACCAGCCAACAATTTTATAACTAATATAGCATCCATGTGTTCATTTGGGGCTGAAAGGCAGCAGGACAGCCGGGACAAAGAACCTCTTGTTACACTTGTACTTTTTCCGTTTTTTTCTTATAACAAACAGGCTTTAGTGAGAGTTGGTTGGGGGGCAGGGTGTCATACACCACAGTGCATTTCTTTTTATAATTAACTGCTGTAAATGGAATTGTTAGACTGACAGACAGGTGCACTTTCTAAACAGTCTTTCCTGTTTGATGTAGCAGTGTAAAGAGAGTATCTTTTTCATAAAGGGAAGAAGACCAATTAGCTATTTTAACTTACATTATTCTCCTCATTAATGAAATTGGTTCATTTTTATTTGTCCTAATATCTTTTACTAGTTTGTATCCCATGGCATGTATATTTCTGTCCTGTTCCTCATTTTCAGATGCTTTGCTATTTTAATAATACTGACGTTTAGAAATTGTATTCCCTGTCAATTCTATTTAATTAAGCTTTGCCCTTTTCTAGACAGAACTGGAGGAGGTTCTTTTTTTTCTTTAGAGACTCTTATAAGCAACTGTTAATACAAGTTGTGTTAAAACTCAGGCTCTCTATTCTAGAAGATACTTGTAAATAATAGTGTTCAGCAATGCAGGAATCTGTTCAAGTTGCTGGTAATTATCAAAAGTTAGTATAATGCCTTTTTCTCACTTGAAAGTATGAAGCTTCAAGTCTTATTATAGATGTAATATTTGTGAAAGTGTATATACATTTTCACTTACCAAAATAAAGGCAAAAGTAATGTAGTTGAATACATTTAAAATAATCACTTATGTTGTCTTCTACTTTAGTATTCCCAGAGAAACATCACCTTATTTGGCTAATCTCCTTTTGGGTTTGCTTCAGAGAAACCAAAAGGATAGAATGGACTTTGGTAAGTAATAGTTTCAAGCTTTGTATATTTTCTAATTTTATATTTTCTGCAAAGATTGTACAAATTGCATAGAGATAGCACAGAAAAATAAAAGTCCATTTCACTTTTGTTTATCTTTTTTCTTCACGATTTTAATAAAGATTCAAGTTTTTATTATGTTCCAAGAATGTAGTCAAGAAATTCTGTGCCTTCATAGAGTTGGTAGTCTAGAGGAGGAAAGAGAGGTAATAAATTATAAACTGTAATTGTATGTTGTGTTAGATGGTGCCAGGTACTGTGCAAAAATAGGAAGAAGAAGAGCTATGAGAGATAAAGACTGAGGAACTAAAATTTTAAATAAGGTAGTCCACTGTCATATGAACAAAGAATAGATCAAAATGAAGGTATGCTATATGGCTGCCTGTGGGAGAAGAATTTCAGGCAGAGGGGAAAAATTGGTGGGGAGGGGCGGCTTTGAGCTAGGAGCATGAATGGAAGTTTGAGATCCAAGAGGCCACTTGAAGACTGAATGTGATGGAAATCATTAGAAGGTTTATCAATCTGGCTATTTCTTTAGAACAGATTATGTGTGACAGGAAAGTCAAAAGCTGAGAGTTAATTCACTTGAGAGTGGAGTGTAGCTTAAGTTGGGATAATAGCAATAAGGGATGTATGAAGTAGTTGGGATTCTAGGACTTTCTAGAGGTAGGAGTTGTAGTGTTTACTAATGGTTTGATAAAAAACTAACTTAAAGATGACTCCATGGGTTTCGGCTTGAGCAACTGAAGGAATGGCCTGTCAGTTACAGAGATAGGAAAGCTGTAGATAGAGGGAACTGTGGGGACCAGAAGAGATCTGATTAAATACATATATTTTCAGTAACCACTGGATAGCTAATTGCAGATGTCAGAAAGCACTTGAGTGTTGGGCGAGAGCTAGGCTAAGGTGATACCAGCCAATGAGTGACATTTATTAATTAATCATGATATTTTTTTAATTACCACTTAAATTCCTTTATTGACTTCTTAAAATTTATTAGTTATTTTCCTAATGGTTGATATAGGGATTATGATGGGTATCTTATCCCAGTATACTTCATATAAATGTTAGTTGAATTCCACTAAAGATAGAAAATTAGTTTTCTGTTGTAATTTCATTTCCTCCTCTATAATGTGTTGTAATTGTCACACAGTACCTCTGTGTTATTTAATCACAATGCAGAGTATTAACTCTTGTGCTATATAGTCTTATATAGAAGAGATGAAGGAAGAAAATATCTGTATAGAGTCTTAATATTAACATAAATATTTACCACTTCTGATATTCATATGGATTGAAGTTACTATTCCATATCCTTTCTTTGCTCTGATATATTTCTATTTATCTCTGCCTCCAAGTGGTCTCATTGGTTAATTTATCCAGTTGTCAATATCTTTTAGTTGTGTGCCTTAGTATTTAATGGCTGAGACATCTCTCCAATGTCTTTTTTAAAAGTTGTATTCTCATGTTTCATTACAGAAGCATTTTTCAGCCATCCTTTTCTTGAGCAAGTTCCAGTTAAAAAATGTAAGTGCCCATTTCTTACTTACAGATAGTGTATGCAAGCTGAAAGAAAAAAATTAGTATTTTGAAATGCAAAATTTTTATTGTGTTTCTCAAAAATTCCTTGAGTGTTCCCTATATACTAATAATTGTGTTTTTTTCAATAACAGTCTTTCTTTCTGTATCCGAATTGAAAAAGGGTTAGTAACTGCTGCATTTTTATTTAAAATTTTACAATTTTTTTATGGTGTGTGTGTGTGTGTGTGTGTGTGTGTGTGTGTGTGTACACAAAGGACAACTTGCAGGAATCAGTTCTCTCCTACCATGTGGGTCCTCATGATCAAACTCAGGTCGTCAGGTGTGGTGGCAAGCACCTTTACCTGCTAAGTTATCTCTGTAGCTCAATTTGTGTATTTTTATTAATTTTTAATAAAAATGTAAAAATATTTATCTTTTTTGTTGGTTTTTTGTTTGTTTGTTGGTTTTTTTTTTTTTTTTTTTTTTTTTTTTTTAGACAGGGTTTCTCTGTATACCCCTGGCTGTCCTAGAATTCTGTAGACCAGGCTGGCCTCGATCTCACAGACATCCACCTGCCTCTGCCTCCCAAGTGCTGGTATTAAAGACGTGTTCCACCACTGCCTGGCTATCTTTGTTATTTTTAAGCATGTCTTTGTGTCTGTGAATGGATATGTACACATGAGTGCAGGTGCCCAGGAAGTCCAAAAGAAGGGGTTGGATCCCTTGGAGATGGAGTTCCAGATGGTTGTGAGGCAGCTGATGTGAGTGCTGGGAACCAAACTAATACTCTTAGCTACTCTTGCAGTTATTTATTTATTGTGTGTGTGTTTGTGTATGTGCACACATGTGGAAGTTAAAGGACAAATGGGTTGGGTTCCTTCTACCATGGGTTCCAGGAATTGAACTCAGGTTGGCTGCAAGTACCTTTTCCTGCTGAGCCATCTGCCCAGCTATTTTTTGGTCTTTCTTTTTTTTCTTTCTGAGACAGGGTTTCTCCATGTAACAATCTGGCTGTCCTAGAACTTTGTAGACCAGGCTGGCCTCAAACTCACAGAGATCCACCTCTGTAGATTTGCCTCATGAGTGCTGGAATCAAAGGTGTGTGCCACCACTGCCTGGCTCCTTTTTTGTTCTTAAATAGTTTGTTGCATTTTTGTTCCATCCATGGAAGCACTAATGAATAGATGAGTGCAAATTTGGGGTTTAAATGAGGTGATTGTTTTGAGAGCTTGTACTATTAGGCAGATCTTACAACCCACGATAGAGAGATGCAGTCTTTTGACTGTTTTTCTTCCCCAGCTTGCCCAGTCCCAGTGCCTGTGTATGCTGGACCTATCCCTGGAAGCTCCTGTGGCAGCTCACCATCTTGTCGCTTTGCCTCTCCACCAGTAAGTTGTGTTTTTTTAAAAAATGATTTCAGAGTTAGGGCTTTTGTTCTTTTAGTGGGTGTGTTTACTTGTAACTGAGGTCTAGAAGAAAGGACATCAGAGTTAGATAAAAATAGACCTGCTTTTGGCCCTTTGCTTTCTTAGCTGTGTAATTTCAGTAAGAAATGATGTATCTCTAAACGGTTTTCTTCTGAACAGTGATTATTACTACCACCTTCTCATGCTATGTGGGAATTTAGTGGTACATGCAAACCAGGAATGCTCATTAGAGGTGAATAAGCAATAAATAATTACTGTGCACTGTAAATGTTCAGATTCCATAGGAGTTGAGGAGTGGGGAACAACCTTGGAGCTGGATGTCACTGGCTTCACAGTGATTGCTAAACCTGCCATTCAAATCCCTTAAGCGACCTGAAATCCTTCAAGACTGGGTCCTCTCCAGTTTAAGTGCTGCTTTCTGATCCCTGAAGACTGTCTCTGATTATCTGGTCATTCCTTCTTCCCTCTCTAATCTGTGTTTAACTAGTTCTTTTCTACATGTTGTTAAAGTAATCTCCAAATCTCTATTACAGCATTATGATCTTGAGACTTTTTACAGCTGAAGGCCCTGGGGGCTCCCGCATCAGCTGTTATATTTCACATACTAGCCAAATAGATGTGAAGTTTTTGACTTCTGAAAGAAAGATAGGGGAGCCATAAAAGAAGGCATCTGTGTTATAGCCCATTGAGGCGACTGAAAAGTTTAAGAGGAAGCTTGAAAGTATCCCATATTGACATAGTAATGGGATGAGTGCCTTAATCTCTGAGCTTGTTTCTTCGTATGTGAAATGAATGCAGTCTACCTCAAGGATAACTGAACATAAGCCCTTAATGTTTATCTAACACTCAATAAATTTATAGGCAGTAACAACTACTATTATTTTCATGAGAAACCTAATAGCCATAGATAAAATAGATGCGTTTTAGTTTTAAAACCATCAAATAGGGGCTAGAAAAATGGTTCTGTGGTCAAAGTGTTGTCTGTGTAAGCATAAGGACCTCAGTTTAGATCTCCCACAGCTATGTACAATCTGGGCTTGACGGCACATGGACCTATAAAAACCCCCAGCATGGTGCAGTTTCAGGAACAGGTAGATCCCTGCAGGCTTGTACAACAGCCAGACTAACCAAAACAGTGAGCTCTAGGGTTAGAGAGAACCTGCTTCAAAAAATAAGGTGACAAATGATAGAGGAAGGAACCTAAAGTCAATTCTAGCCTCCAGATGCACACATGCAGATAAGGGCACCTGAAAACACACACGCGCACACATATACACATTCCAAAAATAAAATAGAAAAAAAGTAAAAAACAAACAAAAACAAAAAAACCAACAACTTTCACAACCCTACAAATATAAACCAAATAGAAAAGGTGATGTGTTCATAAGGCCTACATTACATTTCTGTGGATTTGACAATTTAAGAGGAGAGAAAGAACACATGTTCCTTTATCTGTCCAGAATACTTGGGGTGGGGGAACCAAACACTTGACATATTAGTTACTTTTCTTGCTGCTGTGATAAAATGCCTGGGAGAAGAGGAAGTGTTTACTTTGCTTGCAGTTTAAAAGGATACATACAGTTCATTATGATGTGAGAGACATGGCTGCTGGCAAGAGCTGCCTAAGGCTATGGCAGCAAGAGAGAACTTATTCAAGGTTGTGTGGGTCAGGAAGCAGAGAGGGACTAGGGCCAAACTATAACCTACACAGCACTTGATGGCCTACATTATCAGCTAGGCCCCATCTCCAGAAGGTTCCACAGCCTCTAAATGCATCAGCTAGTGCCCAAGTGTTGAAATATCAGCCACTGGGGGACATTTTACATTCAAATCATAACATTCTACTATTGGCTCATGGTCATCTCTTAATGCAAAATGCACTGTACCAAACTAAAATTCCCAGTCTTAATATTCCAATACTGTCCTGAAATCCAAAGTCTTCTAAGAATCAAGACATTCTTTACAGTGAGCCCCTGTGAAATGAAAAAAAAAAAATGTTAGGTGCTTCCAACATATAATGACTAGGGTAAACATTACCTTTTCAGAAAGGAGAAACATGAAGATATCAAGGAAATAGGGGGCCAAAGCAAGACTTAAACTGCCCGGACAAATATCAAACTCTACAGCTTTGTCTCTTGCATCTAGGGTTCATGGTGTCATCCTCTGGGCTCCATCAGAGCTTCACCTTCAGGCTTCATTCACAGCACACTAAGGAACTCCATGCAGAGAATCTGACCCTCTGTATATTATCTGGGTCTCAGCAGCTTCTTGAAACCTTGCCAAATGTCTCCTTCAGTTACATGTGGATAATGCCAGCCTGTCCCCCTTGGACCAGAACTGTAGTGTCCTCTGAGTGCCTGACTGGCTGAACTTGGGAAAAGTATTTCCCTAGAAGGTCCTATTGGAACATGATGTCCAGGAGACTCTCTGGTTCAATCATTCCCTAAGAAGTTTTTCAAAATGGTTTTACATTGTTACATCATGTAACTCTTTACAGATAGGATCTTGCCCTCAAGTTACCTTTCTGATTTTCCAAGTTCAGAATGTGTGAGGTGAGGAATTTGAGTAAGTGAAGATTGGTGATTTCAGGAAAAATTGTTAAAAGTGAGGAGGGCTGGCTACAGCCTAGTGTAGAGCACATAGCATTCTTGTATGAGGCCTTCAGTTCTATCCCTACCCCTGCAAAAACAAAATTAAGAAAAGCCAGGCACAGTAGCACACACCTTTAATTGCAGAAGCAGGCAGATCTCTGTGAGTTTGAGGCCAGCCTGGTCTACATAATGAATTGCAGGACAGCCAGAGCTACATGATAAATAGTAATCAGAGGGATGTGGGGATTTGAGATGAAAAAAATGAAGCATGTTTATGTAAAAGCCAGGATCTGCTCTGTGCCATGAGGAGGTAGAGAAAATGGAATACAGAGCAGGCTAGATAGGTAAGCTTTGGATACAGGAGAAGCATCTCTTGAACAAAATAAGAAAGGAGGACAGGGTGGTTGTGGATGCAGGTGCTTTTGGATAACAGAGAAAGGAATTCCAGTGTTTCAGTCTAAGTCACTGGCAAGAAATTACAGAGTTAGGTACTCAGTTTCACTGACTGTTAGTTGTATAATATTGGGGAAATGACCTAACCCTTTGAGCTTTTATTTTTTAGTTATTTTAGTTGTGAAATGGAGTTCAGACTACAGCTAGAATTAGAGCTGAGCTGAGTAGAGAGCCTGGTTCACAGTTAATGCTTGGTAATGTTAGTCCTTCACTTTATTATCTTCAGACAAAGTCTTCAAAGGGATGGCAAGGTAATTGTTCATTTTATATGTGAGACACACAAAATGAGGACATGGAGCTAGGGAGATTTGCCATGGATCCCAGCAAGAGACCTTGTTTTAAGGTGAGGGAACTGGAGAGATGGTTCTGAGTTAAGAGCACTTGCTGCTCTTCCAGAGGACCTAAATTAGATTGCTAGCACTCATGCCAGGCAACTTAAAACTGCACATAGTATGCACACATTAACACATACATATAAGTCAAAATAAATAATAATTTTTAAAGAGTAAAATGAGGGCCAGGGCCAGTGGCACACATGCCTATAGTCCCAGTACTCATAAGGCAGAGACAGGTGGATCTCTGTAATTCAAGGCCAGCCTGGTCTACATAGTTAGTTCCAGAATAGCTGATAAATGGCTCTTGGGGAACAGCATCAAGAGTTTGTCCTTTGATCTCTTGATACATATTCACTTGCACACACAACTTCGCATAGGCCCAAAGGTACACACACAAACACATACAACACATTTGGTAAAGTTCTTGAGACTTATTTCATTCCAAGTGATATTCAAAGACTAGAAGAAGAGAATTGGGCATTTAAGGATTGGGTTTACAGAGCATGATTTAGGGTTTTTTTGTTTTTCCTTTTCTGAAATACCAAGATTAAACAGGAATCATAGATACCTAACACAAGTTATAAAATTGATCATTTTAGAACTATTGCATAATCAAGGCATTTCAGTAGAGTTATCACTAGTCTTTGAACTTGACAAATGTCAAAAGATACAGTTTATGCCTAAGTCATTTCAATGTAATTGTATACTTCTCTTCCTTTCTTGTCCTATCTCTCACAGACAAACCACCTCCTCCTTTAAAAAAATAAATAAATAAAAGGAACACACCCCTATGTTAGGTTATCTAAATCTTTCTGTGAGTGTAAACTTGTAGTCTAACAGATATTACCCATATTGGTATGTCTGTTCTTTAACATAATGTGGTCTTTTTGCTTTTCTATGTACAGTGTTTCTTCAGTATGTCTAGAACTTTTTATGCACAATATGGGATTAAAGTCACTAGATATTTTATGTTTAGTTGTTAAGTAAATAGTTACTTAGTGACTGCTTTGTAATGCCATGATCTGGGACTGGGGAAGTTGCAGTGATAAAAACTCAACCTTCTCCAAAGCTTCAGGCAAATTAGACATGTACATGTGATTAGTGCTACCCTTTTAAGAATCATTTTTGGAAAAACGTTTGAGACGTCTTGAGCAAGCATTTTAAACTGCTTTTCTAAAACAAAGATTTCTGAAGAAATTTTTTTGTGAAATCCTAGATGTAAGTTTATTCCCACTTTTATAAAAGCAATACTCTTTAGGCTATTCTGACTTGCATTTGATTATTAGGACAGTTTTAATTTTAATGTTGTTAATTTTAGTCCCTTCCAGATATGCAGCATATTCAGGAAGAAAACTTATCCTCCCCACCATTGGGTCCTCCCAACTATCTGCAGGTGTCCAAAGATTCTGCCAGTAATAGTAGCAAGAACTCTTCTTGTGACACGGATGACTTTGTTTTGGTTCCACACAACATCTCGTCAGACCACTCATGTGAGAATCTTTTCTACTTGTACACATTATATTTTTTAATTTACTAAATTTAAAACTCTATATTTCAACTTGTTTTGTAGGGCACCTTTACAAATGGGCATTTATTTAGTTGTTTTGAATTCTCAGAATTATACAGCTACTTTTCTAAAATGTGCTTAGTGATTTTTCTATAAGATAGTATTTTTGAATTCTGAAGGTAATGAAAATGTTGAAAGAAATAATTTCAAGTTATATTTACATTCAAACAGAAAGAGAGAAGCAAGCAGAATGAGCAAGTATCTTTAAATAGAAGTAAAGGAAGAATCCATTTGAGGGGAAAAAAGAAATCTAAAAGTCAGAGGAGTCTTTTGATGTTTGAGAGACAGGATTTTCCCCATGCTGACATCAGATTTGTAATCACCATGTGTCAGCCTCTTGAGTCCTGGGATTATAATGGGTATGTATCACAATATTAGCTTTACAAGACTCTTCAGGAGAGATTCCAGATGAAATAAACTTAGCAGGTCTGGTTAGAATAGTGAAGAATGCCAGAGAACTCATAGAAAAGAGAAGTTAGGCAGGACAAGGCTGTTGCCAAGGTAAAGAACCATGATTTGGTTGTTCAGGAATTAGGATGGGGGAAGTAGAGATTTGATACTGCCTGTGTGCAGAAGAGATTTGCATCAGGTCTACTTAGTTACTTGTCACCCACTTAGTTACTAGGTGCTTCTACCAGACATTATGCTTGCATTTGCATTTTCAAGGTCATAATTCCCAGCCTGAACAACTGAAAGGAAAAGGAAAACATGGATCACAGCAAGTGTGCAGTTTAGAATCAGTGCTGTGAAAATTAGGATTACCTTTAAATATCATCCTGTAATATAGTGATTTTTCTTCCTTTATTATAATTAAAACTTATAAGGTTATGAAATATTTCAAGCAAAATATTAGAGCAGAAACTCAAGTACCCACCATAGCATGCTGCTTGTGCATTTGTCAGTATTTTGCTGTGCTGATTTTAAATACTTGTCTAAAAATAGGCAAATACTACAAGTACATTTAAAATCTCATTCCTCTTCTCAGTCCTCAGGGTATGTATTCTTCCTGTAGGCATTTTGATCCTTTAGCCTGTAACTGGATCCATATAAAACATGGCATTTCTCTTTTTTTGGTTGAACTAAATGTTATACAGTGTTTATTTTTGTATTTTTTGTTCCTATTTTTGTTATACATCTGGATGCATGTCTCATCATGTAACTAGTCTATTTTAGTGTTTCAGTTTTACAGGACAACTAAAGCTCAGTTTGCCCATTTCCCTACTGATTTACAATAAATTATTTCTGAAATTTCAGTATTTAAAGTGTATGCTAGGTGTCTGTGTATCAGAATTTCTTCAAAGTGGGTACCTTACAAAATACGAGTGTAGAATTTGTCTCTGTGAAATATCAGTGTCAAGAGGTTGTACCTCTAATCTCTGTTGTGCTGCTCAATTTATGGTATTTTCTTTTCAAAAATTTATTTTTTTCCTTTTTTTAAAAGACTTTATTTATTAATTATGTGTATGACATTCTGCTTCCATGTATATCTGCACACCAGAAGATGGCACCAGATCTCATAACAGATGGTTGTGAGCCACCTTGTGGTTGCTGGGAATTGAACTCAGGACCTCTGGAAGAGCAGTCAGGGCTCTTAACCTCTGAGCCATCTCTCCAGCCCCCCAAAATTTATTTTTTTATTTAACTTTGCCTCATGCAGTTTATCTGTAGATCAAATGAATAGAAGGATCTGTGCCTGCATGCCTGGAGCTCAAAAGTCAACCCTCAGGAATCATCTCCCTCCTTCTTCTGTCTTATGGGTCCCCAAGATCAGACTCAGGCCATCAATTTTAGCAGCAGGCCCAGTTTAAAAAATCTTAATTGGTGTGAGCTGGTTGTGGTGGCACACGTCTTTAATCCCTTTCTAACACTTTAAATTCTCTATTATTTAATGATTTATTTATTTTTATTTTATATGAATTGATGTTTTGCCTGCATGTATGTGTATATGAGGGCATCAGATCCCCTGGAACTGGAGTTACAGATGGATATGAGCTGCCATGTGGGTTCTGGGAATTGAACCCAGGTCCTTAGGAAAAGCAGCAGTGCTATTAGCTGCTGAGCCATTTCGCCAGCCCCAGTTAAATTCTCTATTATTTTTTAGATTTATTATTTTTATTTTATGTGTATGAATGTTCTGACGGGAACATTGTGTGCCTGGCACCCACAGAAGCGAGAAAAGGAAATCAGATCAGCTAGAGCTTGAGTTACAGATGGTTGTGAACTATGTGGGTACTGGGAACAGAATCTGGGTCCTCTGCAAGAGTAACCAGAGCTCTTAACCACTGAGCCATCTCTTCAACCCCATAAATCCTCTTAATCATGAGTATATAATAAAATACTGCACTGTGAAATAAGAACTCATATAATTAAAAATCTGACAAAGAACTCATCAGAAAAGTATTAAATATTATAGGAGGTCATTGCTTTCCTAACCTGTGGACTAGGGTTCAGTGAATAATCAAAAGATCATTCTGAAACTGATCTTTCATGAAATCAGAAGTACTATAATTACAGAGCAATAACAGCTAAATTTCTCAAGCAATCCAGTTTCAAGGGGAATCATAATTAAGCTCCCTTTGCTGTAATTTTTCCACAGAGAGAGAGTTATAGGAAGTAACCCAATGCTAAGGATTTAATTATTACTTACTGTGCTCTGTCACCCAGATCAAACCTTACAAGGAACTTGACTTGTAAATAACGCATGGCTCCTTGTTTTGTTTTTCCTACTTCAGCCCTTTCTGACTATAATACCAACTCTACTACTCAGTCTATGGAACACTTACTCTGTTTCATAGAACAAGGCATTGGCTAATCCTACAGTAGAAAATAAAGCCAATTAAGATTTTGTTTTCTTTTCAAGATGGGGTTTCTCTGTGTAGCCCTGGCTATTCTGGAATTTTTGTGGTAGACTAGGCTGGATTAAAGGTGTGCATCATCATGCCCTGCTTTAAGTTTTTTATTGCGTTTATTTAGATATGTATATGTATTTGTGAAGGTTGAAGGACGACTTGCAGAAGTCAGTTCTCTCCTTCTGTGCTGGTCCTGGGGATTGAACTCAGGTCTTCAGGCTTGGTGGCAAGCATCTTTACCTGCTGAGCCAGTCTGCCAGCTTGTCTTTTTTAAAAACAGACTGTCATACAATCTATATCTAGTCCTACTTTGAAAGGTATGGGTATCTGGTATTTCTGGTTATTTGAAACCTTTTAGGGTTCTGTGATGTAAAGTGATTTATTTCTGAATTAATCATTCTATTTCCTTGGGTCATGTTGATGAAAAAGAACCTACTCTCATCCATCAGCTTTCTTTCTTTCCTCCCTTTTTCCCTCCCTCCCTTCCTTAGTTTCTTGTTCTTTTTTTCCTTGGGGCATATTCTCAAAAGGATTGTCCTACCTTCCTGAGTGTGTACCTGTCTGTGTTGGGGTGGCAGGTAAATACATGAGTATGGCACTAAGACCAGCCCTAGCTTGTACATTTCTATGGTAGTAAGCTTTTCTCCTCTCCTTGCCTGTGTAAGTACAGGTTCTTATTTGTCTTCTTCTGTCTGTGGGTTTCAAAGTACTTGTGTGGGACCATAATTCTTAACAGGACTTAAATATAATTACAGCTGGGTGGTGGGTATGCAGGTCTTTAATCCCCGCACTCGAGAGGCAGAGGCAGGCAGATCTCTGTGAGTTCGACATCAGCATGGTCAACAGAGAGAGAGTTCCAGGACAGCTCCAAAGCTACAGAGAAACCCTGTCTCAAAATATCTTCCCACTCTGTGATTAAGTTACCAAGTTGATATGTAGTTAAATTCCTTGCTTCATATTACTTTTGGTTTCTAGGGATTACTTCTTATTTCTTTTGATTTAATGTTGTTTTATAATTACATAGTTTCAAACTCAAAATTTAAAAAACGAAGTACATTTATGAAACATATATGCCTTTGTTTTAGATTTTATTTGTAATTATTTGTATATGTAGATGGGAGAAGGTTGTGCACATGAATGCAGTGCCTGGGGAGGCCAGCCCAGAGTATTGGATCCACTGGATCTAGCGTAAAAGATGGTTGTGAGCTGCCTGATGTGGGTGTGGGAACCAAGTTTGGGTCCTCTGGAAGAGCAGTAGGTGTTCTTAATTGAGCTGTTTCTCTAGCCTCAAGTGTGCATTCCTGCCTCTTCTTTCAATTTCCTTATTCCTGCACAGGGTCTATTTGTGGCTTTAAGTAGATGACTGTCCTGCTCCATTGCTCTTTGTTCATGGCCTTCGTTTAGTTACCCTAGACCTCCTTATCACCACCTGGCATTATTTCACTGTATCCTACAAGTTCATGAGAGCTGGACCTTAGATGTGCCAAATGAATCCAGTAGTCAGTTGCTTACCAGGGTCATTCACAGGAGTCTTTGTACCTCCTCTTTCTTTTTGAATATAGGTTATCAGCATGGTTCATTTAAAAAAATCCATTATTTGATCAACTGTTATTTAACATCACATAGAATGACATAGTATAATGTGATACAGTGAGTATAACAGTGGCAAGCCCCTGAGTTCTGAACTGTGTGGAACTGATGTATGTAAAAGATAGATGAGAAGATAAAGATGGCCTGTTGTATCTGCTACTGTATTCAAAAGAACAATGTCTTATTCAACAAGCTATTCAAAATCTAACAAGAGGTATCATACAAGAGGATGGGTATTCCAGCATTCTGTTGAGCCACACTTTGTTTTATAACCAGTTTTGGCATAGTGTAATGTATATATCGTGCGCAAAATTGTGTAGTGAAAGTCACTAAGCCTTCAAGAGAATCTGTCTCAAAAATCCAAGACTGTAAAAGCAAGCTAAGCATGGTGATGTATACCTGAAATCTCAGATACAGCTGGAAGAAAGGCAGAGCAGATCATGATGTGGGAAGGATCCCTAAGTCTGTGACTTTCAAACTAGTCTAGACAACATGGTGAGACACATCTCAACAACAAACAAGAACTACATACACAACATACAGAATTACCACATACACACAACACACAAAATTACCAAAGTGTAGGAAAGGAAACCACAGACCACATGGGCAAAATGATATTGGGAACATAGTATTCTACACTCCTTCTCAATGATCTATGAAAAGGAACCTGTTAAAAAATAATAGCATGGTTTTGTACATGGTAAATAGCGAAGGAATACATACACATAGCAATGCATATGGAACTTTCATTCAAAAAAATATCATGGGCTCCCCTCCCTGGCACCCAGCCACAGCCTACAAATACCCAGACAAGAAGGTCTTTACCAGGCCTTCAGTTTAGATTCAGCCAGGAGAAATTAGTTTTTATGACTTTGAGTGGTGCATTTGTCTAAAGCCATAAAGAAGAATAAGACCAGAAAGCTGGGCAGTGGTGGCATGCTTCTTTAATTCCAGCACTTGGGAAACAGAGAGAGGTGGTAAATTGAGGCCAATCTCATCTACAAAGTAAGACCCTATTTTCAAAACAAAAAGCAAACAAGATTGTGGGTTTACTTATTATAGAAATGGGTGGATCAAATGTTGCAGCTTGTGTTTCTGACTAGGTGCAGTTTTCTGTGTTCACTTGTTTCTCATGGAAGAAATTGAAGCATAAAAATTACAGGCATGGTGCCACACCTTTAATCCTAGCAATTGGTGAGGAAGGAAGAGGCAGGTAGATATTGATGAGCTTGAGGCCAGCTTGGTCTTCATAATGAGTTCATGGACAGTCAGATGTAGAGAGACTATGTCTCAAGAAACTAAAACCAGGGAAGTGGTGGTGCACACCTTTATTCCCAGCACTTGGGAGGCAGAGGCAGGTGGATCTGTGTGAGTTTGAGGCCAGCCTGGTCTACAGAGTGAGTTCCAGGACAGCCAGGGCTGTGTTCACAGAGAAACCCTGTATTGAAAAACCAGGAAAAAAAAAAGAAAACAAATGACTGCTCCCTCCAAAAAAGCAGGGGATAAATTCATGTTGTATTCAGATTATTTCCAAATCATCACTTTGGAAGAGATTTGCATTCTTTAATGCATAACGGAATTGACTCTTTCTTTCTCTTCAGATGATATGCCGGTGGGTACTGCTGCCAGACGTGCTTCAAATGAATTCTTCGTGTGTGGAGGGTATGTTTATATATTTTACCAGAAAGGCTCTCATATTTTGGGCCTGGAGATGTGTTCAGTTGGTAGAATGCTTTTCTAGCTTTCACAGAGCCCTGATTTCCACTGCAGAACCACATAAGTGAATATTGTGCTACACCATTGTAATCCTAGCACTTGGAAGATGGAAGCAGGATGATCAGAAGTTCACATTTTAAGAAATACTTTTCATATTTTGTTATTTTTGTGAATTTATTAGACTTTGTTCTTGATTTAATTTTTGTTTCAGAATTATACATGTATACATTCATATGTATAACATGCATACATACTATTTTGAGGGTTTTTGGTTTTTTTTTGTTGTTCATTTGTATTGAGTATGGGGGTTGAACCTAGCACCTCAGACATGCTACATAAACACTCCTATTGAACTGTATATCCAGCCCATTACAATTTTTTTTCTTATTTTGAGATAGCATTTTGCTACGTTCCCTAGGCTGGCCTTGGACTCATGGAAGCCCAAGCTGACTTTGAACTTCAGTTCTTCTGTCTTAGTCTCTTGAGCAGGCTTGGGCTACCAGGAAAAACTTACAATTTTTTAAAAAGAAAAAGTAATACTTTTACTTTATGTGTTTATGTATGTATGTATTTGCCGTGCTAGAGATTAAATCTAGAGCCTTGCTCATACTAGGAAAGTTCTGTACCAGCTTATTTTTTGTATTTTTTGGTTTTCATTTTACCTGTGTTCTTTTCTTTTCTTTTCTTTTCTTTCCTTCTTTTTTTTTTTTTT